AAATAGAATAAGTGGCCAATTTTTAAAAGGGTAGCTACCTGAATTGTGGGATTCAGCAGTTGTAACTGAAGATAAAGTAATACCAGCAGTCTTTACCCAATTTTTAAAAAATGTATTCTTAGGAATGCTGAGTTGCTTATATCACTTATCAGATAAAAGAAGGTCTGTGGCTAGATGTTGATTCTTCGGTTAAATAAGAGCTTGAAAATAGTTCGGAGGTTTGTCTGGAACATTCTCAACAGGAAAAGCCATCAAAACCCAGAAAGGATGCTCCACTCTTCCCTCCTGCATACGGTCTATATATGCAAGGGGTCAAAAACGCAGTCTTTGGAGCAGTGAAGATGATGCTGGAGCGAGATTCAGAATAAACATCCTCAAAGACCAAGAATGAGCTAAAAGCTGCTAGACACAGCTAGTAAATCTGAAGTGGAGCATGGCATTTGCTACTTCTAGTAATGTGGACTTTTTTTCTGAGCTGAATTGACACATCTGAAAATTGGGGGATACATAAACCTGTGCTCTCCCCGCAATCCCCAGAGCCATTCTTCTAAAGTATAATGTGAGATGGCAGAAGGGGAAAGTATGAAGTCATATTAATGACCTTTAATTAATTCTATTTAATACAGTAATTACATTTGAATTAAATACAATTTAGATTTTGTCCTAGTCCCACCTGTTTCTTTTTTTTAGCCTGTCTAATTTGGGGGATATAACTCTGGTATGTTTCAGAAAAGCCAAGTGCGCCCCCTTCCAAAAGTAGCTGACTTTGTTGTTAATAAACCCCAATATTAAAAATGCCATGAAGGCTAGTGATTACTAACTTTGGAAAATGTCATTTTTTAAAATTAAAAGCAGATAATATGCTTTTTGCATATCCTTGCAAAGATGCAAGGATAAACTGGGCATTCAGTGAGATGAGATGCTGAGTTCATTTCACTGCTTTTGAACAGCCATTTAAAATGATTGTGGACACATTGTATGCCCAAAATTCTGACACATTTCTGATGAAAAGGTCACTAAGTGAAATCCCCTTTGAGTTGAACTTAACTTCTGGTGATCTCACGGACATATCCATGCAGTTTTCTTGGCCATAAAGTGGAACAGGTTAGCCCTTCCTTCTTCCATGATGTTCTTTGTTTTTAATGTCCCAGGATATGCTACCCCCTTGGATTTTTCAGATACCTGCCCCCCGCCCAAATACTAACCAAGGCCAAGCCCATTGCCCTTCCCAGATCAGCCAAGGTTAAGAAGATATTGTCATTGGTGCTGCTGAGAAATAGGACAATGATAGAATTAGAACATAACCTGAGGTTTGGTTGGCATGGCTTTTTATGGTATAATAAAGTTTACATAGATTTTTAAAATTATGTGAGAAGTGATATATTGAGAATATGGAATAAATGTAAACCTAGGTTGTGCAGAAAATACCTCTACTGGTCTCAGTACAACAAGCATTTTATAGAAAAGAAACAGCAGGCAAAGAGAAATGGTTAACATCAAGATTTCTTAGTATAGGAATATGGAGAACAAGATGAAGTCAAGAGAACAGTTGACTGCTGAGGAATATAGTTGTCAATGGTTTTCATATGCACAATTGAGAGAAAGAATATATTAATATAGAAAAAAACGAATTGAATAATATAAGACTGCATTATGTGCAAATGATGAACATGTGATTGCAAAAATGTATAAATTTTTGTTGAGATTTGAAACGAAAAAAGAATAGGGTAAAGATTGCATGATTAAATGGGCTAAAAACTTTTGTTATAATATACAGATGGATCAATGGGAAGGTATGTGGTTAAAAGGACTGAAATTTACATTGTGTTATAATTTAAGGGAGAATTTGTATAAAAAGATTGGTATATGACAGCAGAGAAACTAAGATGTATAAAGATA